GTGAAATCACAAATTCTAAAGCGTAAAGAATGATCTCATGGTTGTCAAGAACGCGAAACAAGATAAATTCTTCCTTTTCTCAGTGCATAAGAAATGCTTATTTGCCGGTCGAAAAACACTAGTACCGCGGTTAAATTTAAACGAATATCGTGGAGATTCATTTGTCAAAAACCTTTCTCTTTTACCGCTTCTTGCTTTACACCTTCCATTTTTATTTGCAGTCTTCTTCAAAAGGTCTGTGCGCCTGGAAGTATGGCTTCGTGTTTTCGACGTACGAGATTTTTACGGTACTTGGTTCTGTGTTCACAGACAGACTGGTAAGAGACCTGAAACTTTCCTGTTTTCTCACGTCATCATTCATTCCAGAAACGTGTGAAGAATTGTTACTCGCTTTTAATCCACTTTTGATCATATTTTTTTCTTAAAAATCTCTCGGACACATTTTGTTTTGGAATTCACGAGCTACATTTTATAAGCCATGGTGGGGATGAGTTCCCCTCAAAACAATGTCAGGTATCAAATACAGTTAGCGGTTTTGCGATAATCAAAAGACCCTGTCTTCATTCTTTAGCTATCATGAAATTATCACCAACATTAATTAATCAATCAGTCATATTTTTATTTGCGTCTGTACACTAATAGAGGCACTGGCTTGACGAGGTTCACGCCCCCTTTTTTAGCAAACGGCAAGCAATCGAAAGAAAAAGAAAAAAAAGTCAGATTCTTAAAAAAAATCACCGTAGCTATAGTCAAAATACACGTTTAAAATTGGGGTATAGATTACAATGTCAAGGAAAAAATACACTTATATGCTACGACATAAATATTCCTAGAAACATCAATTTTAGAAGACATGATTAAAAAAGCGCAAACATGACAAGGACAAAGAAGGCACACGTACAACAGGTCTGGCGCTTACTTCCAACTAAGTTTATTTCATCATCAACCAAGCAATATATACCATCGCCAGCCAGCATAAAAACCCAAAAACGCACAAAAAAATTATACTTTAAGATTATATGCCTACCACGCGCCGTTCTTTAGATAAAACCATCAAGAAAAAATATTTTTTTGTCAATGAGACACACCGAGGGCATGCTGACGCATTTGTCTCCCGCTTTTTGGATAAAAAACGCCTCTATAATTTCTCTCTCTGTCTTGTCCTTTGCTTTCTTTAGGAACTTCGTCATATTCAAAAGTGGTTTACACCCACATCGCCAGTCCTGTTGTACGTGTGCCTTCTTTGTCCTTGTCAAGTTTGCGCTTTTTTAATCATGTCTAGTAAGAACCAACTAGCCCAAACAAAAGTCGTTTTACATCCGTTTTAGGGAATGAGATGTTAAATGTTCGATGATAATGTTATTTTCAATTAAATGGTTTAGTAAAAAAGGGAGGCGATGTTTTAGCATTTGAGTTCCATAGGTGGTTCGACCTGAATGGTATCCTCCATACTTCTTCGTGACGTACGTTATAAGGTCTAATATTTATTGTTATTTCCGCTATGTTACTAATGTCAGGCGTCTTTTGTTTAATACTTGCTATATATCGAATAAGTAAAGTGTACTCGTACAGTTTGTTTTAGGATAGGACGTTCATTGATTTAGGCAATGGTTTTGTATGGGTTGGTTGTGGTACATTGATTATAGCTGGGATTGCCTTCTTTTGAAGGATAGTTAACTTGTCCAAGTTAGTTGTAGTTGATGTGCCCCAGACCAAGTGACAATAATTCAAATGTGACATGAATAAAGAATTGTAAATGAGAAGCTTAATTTTTACTGGCAAACTTGAAGGGAACTCGTTCAGAATGCCAACAACACTTGAATTTTTTTATTACACCTTGAATGTTGGTGTCCCCATGACATGTTTTCATTAAACATTACACCTAAGGTTTTAACTGTCGAGACGACTTCAATGATAGAGGGGCCAAGTTTAAGCTGAAAGTCTATATTTACCAATTTATTATGCGGCTTAAATATAATAGCTTTTGTTTTAGATGGTATTAACTACTAGAGTGTTTGCTTCACTCCATTTATGTCAATATTCCAGCGTGATAGTCGTTTCTGCAAGTGTGTCGATATTTTTAGCTGCAAAAAAGTAGTGTTGCGTCATCAGCATAAATGATAAAAATAGTGTTTGGGGTAATCGTTACAATATCGTTTATATAAATGTTAAACAGAAGTGGGCCTAATGTACTTCCTTGAGGGACACCTGTTTTTAACGCTTGAATGTCTGAAGAATAGTTGTTTATAAAAAACAGATTGTTTACGAAATTCTAAATATGATGTTAACAGGTTTAGGGTTAGTCCACGGAAACCATTAAATTGAAGTTTATTAATTAAGGTGGTATGATTCATGCGATCAAAGGCTTTAGAGAAATCAACAAAGACACCAAGAGTTAAAAGTCTTTGTTCGAATGATTTTAAGATGAATTCTCTTTGATTTAGTAGCGCGAGTTCAGTTGATCTACCCTTTTTGAAACCATAGTGTGATGAGGTTATGAGCGAGAAACTGTCACAAAAAAGAAGTCATACGACGATGAATAATTTTCTCTAGGCACTTTGAAAACACAGAAATAATGGAAATCGGTCTGTAGTTTGAATTATCGTTTTTGTCTCCGCCTTTGAAAATAACTATGACTTTCGTAATTTGCATTTTGTTAGGAAAGATTCTGGGTAATTATGGGTGTTAGTATGTCCAGTACATATTTCACAGGCTTGATTTGAATGTTGTTAATATCAGTACATTTGCTATTTCGAATTGTGTTAAACATATGATAAACCTCGTGTTCTTCAGTGGGGGCGAGGAAAGCGCTGCTCTCATTCGGTGTTCCTAAATAACTTGGTGCATCGATGTTTTGTGTGCCCTGTACTAGGTTTGCAAAATAATCGTTAAATGAATCAGCTAGGGCATTTTCTCGTAAGGTTGATCCTCCGACCTTTATCTCGGTGACATTTTTTAACTGTGCTGACAGGTTCTATAATTTATTAATTGTTTTCCATGTCTGGTTTGGCCGGGACATTGAGTGGCCATTAAATAAGCATAGAAGATAGCTGTCTTCCAACTTTCTCAGAAGCTTTGTTAGCCGATTTCTGTAGGCTTTAAAGCAGCATTAATCATCAGGATCTCTGGTGTATAAAAATTTTCCTCTAACATGTTCTTTTTCCTTATCATTTTTAAGCATTCTCTGATTATCCAAGGTTTGTGTCGTGAACTTTTTGGATGAATTGGCTGGTATTTAAATTCTATATTGTATATAAACGTAAATTTTGTTAAGAAGGTATCGTATGCGTCATCAGGATTACCCAAGTTATAAATTTCACCCCAGTCTGTGGTGCTTACTAAGGAGCTAAATTTTTCGAGGGTGGTTGCGTTTACATTTTGGAACGTTGGTAGATTTTCAATCTTATTTTCTTTGTTCGGAGTGGCGTGGTTTGTAAACATGTACAGTGACAGATGGTCGCTTAGCTGTGCGTTGATAACTCCGCCAGACGTGTTGCGTGTACCAGTGTTAGTAACGAACAAATCTATCAGTGCTGATGAGGAGCTTGTTATGCGGTATCGCGGATTTTTATGGAACAGGATGCTTTCCTTATGTGTGCAGAGACTCTCCTGATCCAGTAGAAATGACGATTACACTTTCTACTATGTCATACTTCAAGGAGAAATCAACTTCCCCCCCCCCTTCACCTCGTAAATACACGCACACATAGAGGCATAACCTTCACCCTGTGTCACTTTGAATTTGTGCCTAGTGAAGAAGAGATCATATTGCGTAGTTTACGTTAAGAGCCCTATGTTTTCAGTCGAACCGAACTGTCTGTAATGCTCATTTGATGTACTGTACAATTATCACCCTTTCCTCCAAGAGCACAACTATACAAATCGACCGAGAAGACGTAGTAATTTATACAGAGTTCATCTTCAAGTTCATAGATTTCGCTGCCTTGCTGCTGCCTTTGTTTAGTTCTTTTTATTTTTTGTTATTAGCTGCGTGACTGTCTGATATATTATGTGTGACGTAATGTTACGCGCTTCATAAAGCAAAGCAGAACTCGACCCTTAGTCACTTCAGCTACTGAAGGTCCTTTAATACCTGCTTGATCCACAATATACAAGTCTTGGTAGGTTTCTCTTCCGAAAACAGCTCTCATTCTGGGTTTTCTCGGTTTTCACCGATCCTGATAAAACTGGCTCGCGGTTTACCGGTATGCATAGTAAACACGTAGGCCTAGCTACAAACCAATATTGTCTATTCACTTGCTGAGTCATCACCCACAAACATGGCCGCCGAGCGATAAAGCGGAACTTTTATTGGTGAGCTTGGTGAAAAATAAAAGAAGGCAAAGCAAACTCGCCTATCGGCAAACCGCTATGGCCTTCGGCGGCCATGCTTGTGTGTAGTGACTCGACATTAAAAGGCGGTCTGACGTCATGTGAATAGACTCTATACGATGTTTACAAAGAAGCTGTGTTTAACCCGACCAGCTGTGGGTGTTGCGCGTGAGCAGAAACCAGGTGGCCGTGAGGTTAAGCTCCCACGGATGTCCCGTGAAGCAGCAGCGACACTGCCACGGCACGACGTCAGAGCTACGTGTGGCCTGTAGAAGAGCTAGGATGTTTTACCTTCTTGGTAAACATTAAAACGTAACAGACTCCATCGTACAGGAGGACAGTTAAACTATAGTGTGTTGATAACTTTATTTTGTTATAAGTCTCTGGTCCTTAGTTACTTCGTTAATCTATATACTGTGTAGACCAATCTTCTCCTTAAGAAAAATTAAAAAAAAAAAAATCGCTAATAGCACCAGAGGCTTTAACTGAGATATCCCGTGGTGCTGTTTTGGGTTATCTCCACTACACTTCCTTGTGCTGTAGATAAAGCTCAACCTTTTTTTTATTTTGTTGTGAACCTCACTAAGAAAGTATTATCAATTTAGATGAAATTAGGTTCACCCAGGTTGTGCTACTTCCTCAGCCAAACTGGATTTTTGCTCTTCACCATGTGTATGGGGTAAGTAAAAGACTCAATATAAGTAGGGGGTTTTGTTTTTGGTTTTTATTTTATATTTTCTTGAAGGTGACCTCATTTCCTGGACGCGGGTGTTTTTCCTTTTCATTTTAACGTCTCTCTACCAAAGCATTTTTTTTCTCATCAAACTGTTTTAGTCTTCGACCGTAAAAAGCAAAAAAACACACACACACACACACACACACACACACACACACACACACACACACACACACACACACAAAAGATAATCAAGCCTAAGCCGGGCGGCACAAAAAGGAAATTGAGCGAACACCCATTGAAGACTTCGGGAGCTTTGAACCCCTTAACTACGGCGTCCAAAAGGGGAAGGGCAACCCTGAGCGAGGACACACGGAGGGCAATGGGGACACAACCATCGGAATAAGAGAAAACTTAGTGGAGGTTAAAATAGTCGTTGAGAAAAATAAGACACGAGAACGAAGAATCCCAAATATAAGCCAAAAATGTATTTCAATTAACAGCTTACATTACATTGAACGAAATTTGAAATAAATTCGTGTTCCCTCAAAATATTTATTTTGTAATGCATAGAACCTTTTTATAGAATGTTCACAGTTCCATGTCTCCCTTTCGGTTTTTGAACTATCTCTCGAAAGGCCGCTGCCGTTCGTAACCTAAGTGCTTGTTTCAATATCATCTGATATAGCCGTACGTGTATTCCTCACACAATTTCAGGCAGTCAAAGGGAGGTGAAAGGGAATTGAAGCGGAATCCCCTTCAAGCCCTAGTTAGGCAACCGAAGATTCGCAAAATTAATCCTCCACACTTTTTTTTTATATAAACTGTCATATTCCTCGAGACTGCGAATAATTTTAACTGCCTCTTAGCACCCCAAAGATAGAACGGCTAATCAATGCAAAAGTTACCGACACCTTAAAAAACGCCGGACGTGTTTGATCATCATCTCACTTTTTGCTTTGTGGTTTGATCATTTGTGGCTTTATTATACAGCATGTAAACTAACGCTTCTAAGGCACTTTAGACGACCCGCGAAAATCTATCTCTCATAAATTATAGCGCAGCAATTTATTACAGAGGTGCAAGCTGTTGGGGGTTGTTTGCGGTGAAACAGTAAAAAATAAGTTACCTCATTAAAAAAAGTAAAATAAAACCCGTCTTGGGTAAAATACGCTTCGCAGATAATGCACGTGTAAGGAGAAGTGCAGCCGACAGATGGCGTACGCCGCGTCTAGAGAGCGCCGCGCGATTCGGACGATCACGCAAAAGAACCCGAATCGGCCGGCGCTCCCACGACGCGTCGTGCGCCATCTGTAGGTAGCACATCTCTTGATTCTTTACGCGTGCATTGTGGGCGAAGTGGCAGCGTAAATTGCCAAAAACACGCTTTTTTTCATTTAAGCGTTGCAAGTTTATTTTTGTGATTTTTGTTTATCGTAGACTTCCATCACCAGCCTGCACTTCTGTAGTAAATTGCAGCGTGATACATCAAGAAACCGATTTTTGCGGGTCGTCTTAAATGCTTTCGAAGCGTCAGTTTCTATGCTGTATTATGAGCTAATCTCTTTGGCTCCGGAAAAAAAATGAAAAATGCTGGGAACACACTGTGTGTGTGTGTGTGTTTTTTTTCACTCTGGGGGGAGCTGTTAGTGACAATAACGCCGTTTGACGCTTCTTTTTTCTGAAACATTTTCTCCGGAAAACGGTTTTTGTGTTTCAGAAGTGCGTACTGGAGTTCTAACGGGACCACCTTCTTTTGGATATGTATTGTGTTGTCCGCTGCCGGAAGTTTCACGGAAGCAATATTTACGGTTATGTTGTACGCCGACATCACCAATCGTTTCAAGAAGGAAAGTGGCTTGATGATTGTAAGTGTTTTATTTTATTTTTTTAGATCTTGCAATGTTCTCCTAAGAAATCCTGCTTGAGGCGCGCTTAAAGATTTTGATTATGCTATACGCACTGCATAGAACACACATTATACGACCTACAAAATCTCCGTTTTAGATTATCTGCGTGGGTATTCGTGTTCGAGTGTTTGTAGTGAGTAGTTTCTTTTTTTTTTTTTGTATAGTATACGAGTATATATATATTTTTAGTCGCCGTATATTTCAAGTGCAGCCGGATTTTTTCTTATTTCTGAATTCTGCATGAATTTTATGGAAGTTGGGCTTAAATTTATTTGCGACAGAGTATCCGCCTTGTGAAAAATGCATTTCGTTCAACGTGCGGGGCCTAAAAAGTTTATCAGGGTGGCGTGTCGGCAGTTTAGCCTCAGTGCGTTCTTTGCTGATTACAACACACATCTAGTTGTATTCGCGGGCTCTGATGGTCGCCATTTATTTAATAAAACTACCTGAAAATTGTGTACAACCTTTAGAATAATTAACGATAAGTTCTCAACCTTTGGCATCTGATCCCAAACAGCCAGCACAACTTTTTGACGGAGAGTGAGCATATGGGGATGCGTAAATTATTGTCGTCATGATAATATCACGGCTCTAGTTTTTCCTCAAATACCCAGTATTATACTCCTTATGTAATGTCACTGACGTAACCTTAAATTAAAATAAATTGCAAACATAAAAGTTCCAAGAATAAGCAGCTCGCTACATACATTTCTACAATCTTGGGGACCAGAAAAAACGAAGCTGGCTCAAAAAGGTTCCTACATCTGTGTTCCTCAACAATATTAAAAAAAAGAAATTGTTTCGAGTATTTCACCTATAAATATTCCTGAAGTGCAAACAAACTATTTAATGGAACAACCTTCCATGATCAATGGGGTATATTACCACATAGATTTAAAGTTAACATGTTTGACATAACTCTGTCTGGTTGGGATGAAATTATCCAGCATCTCTACCTTTCGAACGCACCTCGATATTAAAAAAGCCTGCCGAAACTTCCATGTGGTTTTCCGAATCCTTTGTCTCAAACATGTCGTCCAAACACCAGAGGGACACAACATCTTTGAATTGGCAGAGCACGAATTCATGAATGCCATGCCACTGTACGGCAAAAGGAACAGGACCTGTTTTTCACACGTCGACAGCTCGAACACCGCATCCCAAACGTGCTGCCATCTTTGCTATTCTTCACCGAAAGCTTCGCCTCCACTCCTTCAAACACCATGAATCTCAGAAAAATCTTTCGAAGCCGAGGGGCAAATGTGAAGGAAGATACGGCGCCAACAGTAGTGAGGCTTATGTTTTAGCGAAGGTCCACGGCTTCAACGTGACAACAAGGAGGCCAGCTCTATTAAAAATAGTTGCTTCCATAGATGACATCGCGTGCCGGGATCCAAGCAACCAGAAAAGTGATCGGACTACTATATCATTATTTACAACATCAGCGACAAAACCTGTAAAAAGGAGAAGGAACAACACTCGGAGATCTCCAGGGTGGTGCCAGAAATGTGCTTCTGCCAGCGAAAAAGAGGCAACTAGATCATCGTGTTAGATCAAGATGCCTACAAACAGAAAGTCCGGGGTATTCTTAGGAGCTCTGCTTGCGTAAACCGCAATGGGTGCATCCTTCTCCGTTACCATGTTAGTCCTGACGATGAAATGTATCGAACAAAATGCATTGCAATCTTTCGACACAAGCCCCAAATTGTTCTTACGATACGTGGACGACTGCTCCTGGAATCTAGAGAAGTCGGAAGCCGACTAGTTCCTCACGCATTTTAACTCTATCGAGCCCGCGATCCAGCTTACCATGGAACGCGAAGGGGACCTTACCGATTTTCGATGAACTGGTGAAAAGGCCAGAAGAAGATGTGACATTTACAGTACACAGGATGCCAACTAACACTAGAGGCTATCTTCGTCTTGACTCTTAGCAAACTATATGTCACGAAGCGTCGGTGTTTCAGACGCTTCATTCCAAAGTGAAGACGATTGTACATCTGATGCTGACAAACGAACGAAGGAGCAAACTATTAATGCTTATCTTAAGAGTGGATGTGGGGCTTTAGAGTAATGTTCTTAATTATGAAAGAATACTTATATTATACGTTGATATAACACATCTCACACCGAATTCAAATATGCAATCAGATATTGAATATCTTTAGTAAAACCCGAGTTACAGGAGATCGGTCTAATTTGATTAGGTCATTCGTTACGTGTTGTTAAAGAGACAATATTCGTAAATTATCCAAATTTTTAATGCAACTGCATTCACAAAGGTGTAATTTGTGCGGTGATGCTATTTTAGATCCCGCCTGACAGGGTTTTGTTCCTAAACAATATTGAAGTCGTAGTGTAAAACACACGCTTTCTCGTTATATAAAAAAGTCATTAATCGGATAGAACTAAGTTAGAAGACTATAAAGTAGCATCACCGCACAGCTCATTCTTTCGGATTAAAATGGCACCAAACGTGTTAATATTGTCGAAGACAGACTTCATAAAACGCCTGTAAGGAATCGGTACCTATGAAACAAGTGTGAAGAGAGAAGAAAGCACCTGAAGTGTGTGTATTCCTACTGAATGTTCGTAGAAACTTAAGCTTCATTTTCGTCATATCTTAAAATTATATAGATCAATATTATTTGGTACACAGCTTAGTGGGAATGCCTAAATATCGTGCAAAAATGCTCCAAAAGCCGGGTGAATTCATGATTGAAAAGATTTACTCCGACTTACCATAGCAAATTAAATACAAAAAGGTATATTCATCTCAAAGGATCTATCATATATGTATATTTTGCTGTTCTTGTTTAGAATTGAAAATATGTACTGCGCTTTAAACATGTTTCAGTGTAAAATGCTCTGCAAATTCAACCTGCAGCTGAAAAAAAAGAAAAGAAACAAGCTGATTGTTTCGGTAAAGTATACTGCACCACATTGCCGTGCTTTTTATTAAATTGTGTGTTGCTTTAATTTGTCCCATTCGAAAACACAGCGCTTCAAATTGTACTATGTATACCCTTCAGATCAACATTTTTGTCAACAGCTGCCGCGGCCTCCATTACTTCTACGTTCTCTAAAACGTACTTATAATTTTATACTTTAATTTGTGGCCAAGTTCAAGTTTGAGATATATGACTCTATAAACACTTCTATTAAACAGTAGTTCAAAGCTTCAACCGTGTCCTTCCTGTGACGAGCCCGCCCCTCGTGCTTATTTCAAATGTCGCTGCTCAATATATGAGCGAAGTGAAACACAACTCCCCAAAAAGAAACGAACACAACTCCTCGGTTTGCGCCCTCGGGGTAGTATACCGAACGCAATACCTCAGCGCTTCGAGCATGCAGCACCCGGACATTTTCCTTGGCCTCGCTCGAGTCAGCTTTCGCCGCTTGTTGCAAGGCAAGGAGGGTTAGAGGTAAGTAAAGTGCGCAACTCTTCGTTAAACGTTCTCCAAGTTGAAAGAGCGAGTCCCGCGCGATTGGACAACTGGAGGTACATATCATGGAGTGACGAGGTCTGAAATGAGTGCATGCGAAACCCAAAATGCAAACGAGCGTGACGAGCGCAGTTTGGAGGGACTAATCGCTTTTACTCGCTGCTGACGCAGGAAATAGAGATTGACTTTGGTGGCAAAACTAATGCCGTAGATTTTAAAAGCCCTGTGGCAGGTGCACAGAAGCCTTATTGAACGCAAACCCGGGAGACGAAGGCTCCGATGTCTAAACAAAATCTGATGCCCGTGAAGTCGTAGCGTGCGGCGCTGGTCACCGGATAACGCTGTCTTCAGCGACGCCCGTCTGAAGAGCGCCGATAGAACTTTATCTGACGGCGGCTAAGGGCGCACTATCCCTGCATAAATAAATGTTATTCTCTTAGCGCGTGTGTGTGGTCTAGTGTACCAACCTTACACCCTGGCTCAAGTAAAAATAAAAGCAAAGCGTGTAGAATTGTGTGCAACGTGATTCTTGGTTGTGTTTCAACTCCCGCTTCCTTGGGCTCATTGAAAGAGAGAGAGAGGGGGTTGAGTGAGATAAGACGTTCAGCGTTCAGTGCGGACGTAACTTTAGCCACCGCGTAAAGAGAGACATGGTGTGAGTTCTTCAATTTAGAACTGCACCATCCACAAACCTTGTTTAGTTTCATCGTCGCACAACGCTCATCAGCTATCGCAGCGACTTACAGCGTCGACAGAGTTTTTTATGTTGATTACCTCAGTAAACACAATAAAAAATTTACAAAGCAGAGGAATTTCCGCAGCGTGCAAGATCTTGGTGTGAGCCCCCTAAAGAAGATTTTGCACCAGGAGACATCTGCAGATGTAAAGGAAACAGACTGCCTCTGCCAGAACTGTTTCCAGCACTTTAACCGTGAAATAAAGCATGTGCAAGAAACCTTTGACGGTGTGGAGGACGCGTTTCTCCGAGATATTGAGGCCGTCGCGAAGCGGAAATGTTACCTACTGCCCACAGAGGTGTCACCACTGAATCCATGAAGTCAAATAAGAAGCCTTTGCAGAGAATGCTACGGAAAAAGAAACCAAGCCGAAATATAAAATGCCATAATCACCGATGTTCGTACGGGGACTCGAGCGACATATGGCCCATCCGACGTCTCAGGACGATCGCGAGGGCGCTGCAACAGGTGCAGAGAGTGGACGCAGAAATTTCCACTCACATACGCTGCATTTGCTACCCACTAAAACGCTGCCGGCTGCGGACGCTCCTTCCCCCATCTGTGACGAGGAAAGAGATTGAAAGTATTGCGCCGGACACAACTCGGTACATCATCGACAATTCACGGAAACTGAGAGATAACCATGATGTGTGGTCGATACCGGATCCTTACTCAAGAGGAAAGGTGCGCGAAGAAGAGTTTTTCTTGCTCTTGAGTTTTACACTAAGGACGAACCGGGCTGCTGGAAACAAAATCCTAACTTGAAAGACGTCGTTTCTGTGTTGACCCAAGTGTTTAATGACAAGGTCAATTCGTGAGGGGTTTTGTCTGTTTAGAAGCGCACACATTACAAATGGCATCACTGGATGGATGGATGGATGGATGAATACGGCTGAGCCCTTTGGATCGGGCGGTAGCTTACGCCACCTAAGGTTCGCTCCTTGCGACCCTGGCGGGTCAAGTGTGCAACCAAGAAATAAATTTTCGTATATATATATTGCGGAGATTTCAAGCTTTACATTGCAGCTTTTGAAAGCGTCACCAGCAAGAACGTCAACAACGAGGACCTGGACTCCAAGTACATTTCTACTCTGCCAAACAATGAATGCCGACTGGGTAACTGCGTGAGATGTGGTAAGGATCGCCATTTTACGCTTTAATGACTTGACATTACAGAAGAAGCAAAGGTTCTGGCTTCGGTGCGGGAATCTGGCAATCTGATTAAAAAAACGTTGGACTCAGTGGCATTTATAGAAGAACTCCAGACACTGGTAGGTAGGTGGATCCTTCATAATCATATCAGGCAAGTTCAAGGGAAAGCCATATACGTGAAAAAGCGGTGCAAACAAAAAGGAAGCTTCGTGCTACATTTCGATTTCGCGGAGAATCAGACTGTTCTGCTGCCAGATGAAGCCCGGGCCTACCGGTGGCACAAAAACAAGTTTCAGTATTTACATGCGTTGTAACTACTCGAAAATCGCACGAGTCTTCGCCGTCATCAGCGACTATGTCTGTCACAACTCTGCCTACGCCTGCTTTGCATTCATGAAAGTCAGGTTGGCTTGTTGACAACGCTCCTGTTCACTCGCAATTGACTTGAGTCAGCGATGGAGCAGCGAGCAATTTTAAAAACGGATATCAACTGCACGATTTTAGGAAACTAAAATGTCCTCTAGCCCGGTGGCTGTTTTCTGCGAGAGGAGACGGCAAAAAGTCGTGCGATGGTGGAGGAATTGTAAAACATCAAGCCACTCTACACAACCTGCGACAGCCAGCAAGCATGGTGATACGAAACGCCCAAGACATGTCAAGTGTATTGTCTCAGCGGCTCTAGGGAGTCAAGCTGATTTACTCAGAAGCAGGCCAGCTAATGGAGTTTTGAAAACGGAAAAAGGAAGGATGGAGAAACGTGCGCACCGTCGTTGGAATGCCAAAGTGGCATGTATGGCAAAGTCACACAGTGGGGCTGAACTTGGAACTCACTGGCTGTCGCACCGCAGAGAGCATAATGGCGATCATCTTTTTTACAGTGCCCATTACATAGTGTAGGCGTGGTTTCCGGGTTTTTTGTTAACGGAAGTGAAGTGTTAATTGTATGACCCAACCGAAGCGCTATATGTCAGGTTCCGACCTCGACGGCGCCAACCGAGGTTTTGGGCTTGTAATTTGTGTTTTATTTAAAATTGACATGTATTGCAAATTTGCACAACAGGACTGAACTTAAAACTGACTTTTTCTCGGACCGTACAGCACCTAATTAGCGGTGATGTCAAATACTGCTCGAACATGCTGAGTGCTCACCGCGTTTAGTATTGTGCATTTGTTAGGGAGTGAAGTATTGACTTTTGGTTCCAATAAGTTGTTTTCGGTTCCTACCTCTAGAGTGCAAGCCGGGCTGTTGTGTTTCTTTGTTTCTGGGAAGTTGTGTTTGAGGCCACGCGTATACCGAACAGTGACATTTGAAATAAGCACCAGGGGCGGATGAAGTTAAAGCATTGAACTCCTGCTTCGTAGATGTGTTTATAGGGTCATATCTCGCAAAATTGAACTTGGCCACAAATTAAACAAAATATAAAATGATCATAAGTTTTATTTTGCAGAACGCCGGAGTAATTGAGGCCGCGGCAGATATTGAAGAACATGTTGATCTGGAGGGTATACATAGTACAATTCGAAGCTCTGTGTTTTTGACCGGGACAAAATAAAGTAACATGTGTTTAATAAGGAAAAAGGGCGATATAATGTAAAATGCTTCGCCAAAGTTTTAAAAAAATTGAGTTTTTTTTTTAGTAGCACGTTGAACTTGTGGTACTTTTTGTTTTCAGCTATGTTTAGAGCACTGTAAATCATTTTCTTATACGTCAGAGCGACACCTTATATGTGGAAAAAAAAGCTTATGTGAAGAACCTGTGAAAAAAATTTAAACGATATATCTTATAAACTTTGCGAGACAACATATCACAAACATAAGGTAAAAACGTCAATGTAGCCATGTTTGGGCATTCTTTACGCACGAAATAGAATTTTTAGAAAAGTATAAATTGTTTTATGCATTGCCACTTTAGGCTACTATTTGAGCGGACTTCCTGAGTATTTTATTGTTTGTTTTTTGCCTATTGCGTGCCGTCAAACTGGTAGAATTAACAAAACGCAAAAACGGGTTTGCTGCCTGTATGTAGACTTGTTTTGTTTTCTCGAGAAATAAAATGTTTCTCGCAAGACGTCTTGTGATTCCTTTCCCTCCACACATTGGGGAGTAACATATTAAATTCGAAGAAAACAAAAATTTCAACTGGACACACGTGCATGATCTTTTCTAAACACCAATCTGCATGATATGTATGTTTTTTTTCGCTTCTATCAATTGTACATGTAAGTTGTTGGTTGACCGTGTATTCTTTTATTTTTAGTCATTACTGCAATTATTGGATCATTGCGGAAACCTGGTTGGCGTCAGCCTAGGCGGAATTTTGGTTGACGTAAGTGAATTTGCCATTCGTGCGTCTACGCTCCTTAAAAAGCCTGTCGCTATCAAAACTGTGAATTTGTCTTGTTCCAGTTTTGGTCCTACCCAATGCCATTTTACGTCTTTGGGGCTGCCCTCACACTTTCATCTCCTTTCATCGTGAAATTTCTACCTAAAGGTAACAATATGAATGGTGGCTCACAGTGCAAAAAGTATTTTCGCATATTAACACCTGTAACCCCGTCTCTCCATGTTCCCCACATTCCCTGCATCTTCAAGAGCATTGCAGTTCAAAAGTAATTAAAACTGCCACTCGACAGTTGTATTGCACGTGACTTATGCATGTACTACATCAGATGCTTTATTTGAAAAAGAAAGTTGTATCAAAGCATGAAATGCTTTTTCACGGATCCCCCTAATCCCAACATTTTCTCCGACGGTTCATTCTTTCGTTGGTGCGTTGTCCGCTAAATTTAGTTCGGAAATTATCGTAACGTGACCTATACTATACATCGATTTGGTTTCAACGCAAAATTTGACTGGGACATTGATGTCACGTGACCTGACGTCACGTGACCTATTACACCAATTTAGTTTCTTACTAAACTTATTGGGTGAATTGACGTCGCGTGATTTTGTAACTGAGCCAGTTTCCCTCTTAAATATAATGGAAAATTATTAAAAGCCCGGGTTCTTCACTGTTTGTAGGAACTGTCAAATGTCTTCGAAACGAATTCACATGATCACTTCTTTAATATTGCGTTTCATTAATTATACGTAGAACTCTCAAGCTAAAGGTCGCGATGTATTTTTTTTTTTAATTCATAAAATTGTCAGTGTGTTTTTTATAGCTTTCACAATTCCGAGTTCAGTGTTTCGGAAACTAATTAGTTTCTTCATTTCGATGGCCATAAGATAATTAAAACTTCAAGGTACGGTGTTAATAAAGTAGCTGTCTGATTAAGATGGATGTAATTAAGCATATACTAGGATGGACTAGTAAGTATACAAATAAATAAATATATAAATATTATGCGTCAAATTACGGGACGACTGGAGCGAGCTTTTTCACTTACAATCGTTTCCAGCCTTGTAGTTCCTGTATCCAGTGTGTGGGACGAAGCAAAATGACACAATTAATCCCAGGAATATTTTAAATATATAGAGAAGTCAAAACCAAAATGGTTGAAACATGACCACACCCGGTGTGGGCAAACGCAAACTGGTTTGTAAACAGCGTGTCGGTCTATAACGTAATTTTGGATTGTTCCAGAGCAGTAACATGATGCTATATACTACGCCCTGTATGTATTAAGGTGTCGGTTACTGTCACTGAAAAGAAACACGTAGGCTTAACATGTCAAGTAATGTGATTCGGCGTTATGAACAGAAGACGAAAGTAATAACATGCAATACTGTAAATTAGGTAAGTCAATAAGTAAGTCAAGCAAACAAAAAAAAACAATAAAATGTCAATAATTGTGCTTCGGTGTGTGGTTTTAATTACTTTCAGATGCAAGTTCCCCAAGTATAGAGGAAGAAAAATCCAGCACAATCCTTTGGAAACTTTTGTGTGACCCTTTATTCCTTGTAGACATGGTGACGATCACGATGTATTGGTCAATTACCGGTTTCAACTCAACAACACTGGAGCCCAGTCTTCGACTGGTTGGGGCATATAACATATTGAAACTGTAATAACCGTTAAGTTTTGTTTTTGATGATGTTTTCCTTTTTTCAGTTCCACTACAGCAATAGCAAAGTTGGCAATGTCTTCGCTCTTCAGTTTTTATCTTCTATAATTGGAAATATCATTGCCGGTGCCTTCTGCCACTTTAAGGTACATCAGCTTGCTGAATAGAACGAAGAATCTTCATAACCCGCAATATATAATGTCAAATGTGCATGCAGGTATCATTCACTCATAATACCGCGTTTGAGTTTGCCTCGGTGAGAATACTCAAATTTTTCAAGAGCGTGTGAGACCTATAGGGGCTATCATTATTACACGCGCTCTGTCAATTCTGCGTAATAAACCGTTGAGATTTCTCTTTTAACGGATGGGGCTGCATTCTTGTCAGCGTTCTTCTATACAAGATGTATATAATTTCTGCTAAATAAGACTTCATATCTTCCGCGGCACGGCCTGTACATTTCACGAACCAATAATTAATATGAAGCCAGCGGCTTCTAGCGACCTACTGCCCCAAAACCATCCGCATCAGTGAATTTTGGTAACTATGTCCCATTTTGTCTTACGAGAACTGTGTTCTTCGGTTGTGGTATATCAGTTTTGGATGCGCAGGACCAAAAATGCAAGCGAAATGACCAATGTTTAATTATTATTTTAATTGTACTTGAATAGGCACCTGAACTAGCGTAGTTTTTTTTTTTTCAGACAAATAAATTTTATGTACAAGTAGAATCTCAAGTAGAAGTTGAGCAAGATACGGTGAATAATAAACCCCCATACGGTTTTACGTATAAATATTTTCCTTGTGCAGGCGCTATTAAAACTTCCGATTAAAAGCAAACATATTTGTAAGCAAACACTAACTAGTTGGCCAATTAAAATCTGTCTTTGATGTTTGATATGAATCACATAATGTTTTGCTTCGGGCATTTAAGATGGAGGCATTCTATGGCTTCATTGGACAAATCTTTGCCACGCTTGCTTTTCTAATTCTGGGACCCGCGCCATTTATTCCTTACGAACGGTAAGAATGGTTTCTGAACACGCCCGGACCATTGCTTCTTAGTTTCTTACTCGCTATGTAAAAAAAGGAAGCAAAACATAATATTTTTTTTTTATCGTCCAGAGCTCTGTGGATGATCTACCTGGCGCAAATCTTCACTGGACTCGCCACATCGGCGATGTTTGCTTGCGCATACAGTCAAGCACTGAGGGTTGCAAAGTACGTACCACGAAAGAAAGAAGAATTATATGGTTGTGTCACATTGCCGCATATACACACGGTTACTAAATTGTTTCCTTTCATGAGTGTGTTTGGTGTTTTTTTGTTTTTTTTTTTTGCCGGAATATATTCCATACTTTGCAAGGAAACATATTTCGTTTTGTTTAGGTGGCGTGGCTACTCTGACAACATTCAAACAAACGGTTTTGTGTCCATTAGCGTCCAAGCAAGCATGGTCATTGGGTGAGCACCCTAGTGTTTCGAGTTTTCTTTCGAGCAGGGCCTCGTTTTTTACAAAAAGGTTTTTACTTCGACTTAGCATATCAACCAGGGACTCAAACCAAAAAATATAACATTTCGTATTAGGGTTACGGTTAACGTTTCCTGTTTATATCAGTTTCGTTTCGTTTTTTTGCGGTTTTAATTTTTACAGTTTCGGTCACCGGTTACACGCTCCTAAAAACCGGTGTATTTCGGTTTCTCCAATAACTTGCTTTAATGAAATGCTAGACAGCTGTTTTATAACAAACGGGTTAAAGTAGTCCCACATATTCAACGACTGGAAATTCAGGGAACTCAGAAACGTCTTAGTCTTCTATTTGTATAAAAGCGGCAGACGTTTCTAGCTCCAACGCTTGTTCATTACATCTCCTTGCATTATATGGTATGATACCCGAGCATACACGTTACTTCCGCTACTCTGGGATCATCGCACTCCATAGAACTAAAATTAAAATAAACATCGCTACTCTTTTGTTTGGCAGCGTTTGTAAACAACCTTCTAAAAGTCCCCTCTCGGTGCTGGAGAACCATGTGCACCTTCTCGTCGCTATAGCCTATTTGGAACCTAAGATATGCAGAAGAGTCTTCGCCCACACTGAAGGGAGGAGCAGAACTATTCGCGATTCCATTTCACTATAGGTGGCGCCGCTCGTTTTCTAAAATGCGGTTATAGTGATGGTCGCAGATGCCTGCCGGTATACCAGTTGCTGATCCTGACTACTGTGCTGGCTTCATTCAGTGACACAAATTATTCCTGCTTATACGAGGAAGCTAGGGTGTTTTGAGCGCAGGTCAGCTCTTTATCCTGAAAACGAGAAGGGTGTTTAGCGTAATATTTACGCCAGAAGGCACGTTTTAATTCTGGTTGCAAACCGAAACTATCCTCTATTTTTTCTTTCACACGCCCAGATGTGTCTAACAGCGCAAATATTGAGCTAAAAAAGTTGTTGGCGGAAAATTTATTTTGTGGGATACGTGTTTTATCCAGGCATTTCAAAATATTTTGGAGATCTCAGTATCCCTCTAAAGACAGGGTCTTTAATACACCTTAAATATAACAATATATCCTATTTGTTGAAAAAAGCAGTGCTGATATTTGTGTGTTCTTGCTGTCTTTTCTCGCTCAGATAAATGCCACGTGAAAGAATGAACTGTGTGCCTTTTAATGGGTTTTGGGGCAATTATATGATTAATTGCTTTAACATTATCCTCAGCACAACAATAACAGAATCAATCTAAATTTTACAAAAATATCGCCGCGGGTTTTGAGTTTAGAATATGTTCACAAAACATATAAATTAAGAAACGCTGTTCTTACTACAAAAAACACAAGACTGAATCCGAGTCAGGCAGCAGAAGTTCGTGTGTTTTTTATATCATCGTTTGACGGGTATAACTGTCTATTACATCCAGTGTTTGACTCTTTGTCTATCTTGATAACGATCTCAGAGTTTTTCATAAGCTAAAAAGAAAACAAAATGAGACCTTTCTAAAAATATGATGGTTAAATGGCGTATTTTTGTGGTTGTGGAGTTCATTGGGGGTCTACGTTGCCGCAATTTGTATTAATACTAATATTCATACAATTAAAAAATTTTATTACGCGTTTTTTCAAGCTGTAATATAATTGGTTGCTTATGATCTTATGATTATGATCAAATTAGCGACTTTTGACAATTGGCAATCCTTCCAAAGTCGCCGGCCGCCAATCCTTCCGGACCAAACGCCCCGAAATAAAAAGAAAAGGAAAGAAAACAGAATCTGTTCTTAATATTTTTTAATGCCAATCGTTCCGGAACATTTGGTTTCATTAATTTGAAGCGCCGTCGTTTTGCCAATCTCAGCTTTCCAGTTCGAAGAACGCCTACCCGCTTGCACGCCTGCTCAATGCAGCACGTTTCGTTGCCGTCGGAAACCGTTGAAGCAGTAGTGAGTTTTAATATTGCGTATACGAGCGAACGCAACCGTGCACTGTGTATTAGAGTTAGCGTTGCGTGATCGACACCGCGCGTGCGCGAAGCCTGAAATAGCGGTATTGGATTAGAGCTTGGCGACGACACGCAAGCGCAAAGTGGAGCACGCGACTCTAACGCAAACACACAGCGCTTGCGTCTGCTTCTATACGCTATACTAAAAAATACAATCTCATACCGGTTGTAGTAGCACTTCATTGGGACATTGAAGAGTGTTGTTTGCATTCGACAACGACATTTCGCGAGCCACGATCACGAGCAGTCGCTCCGCTCACCAGTGTGCTTCCCGTTTCCGCCGCGGGAGAAGGAGCAGCGAGCTGGAAAAGCAAATACCCCTCTTGTAATAAAATACTGCTCAGTGGAATAAAGTAATAAAATTGAGATCTGGGATTGCTTTTTAAATTCAAACATAATGTAAATGCAATAGCGGAAAACAAGAAAAACTAAGGACACGAACGAACAACACAGAAAGCTGTAAAAATATGTCCCGTGTTTTTCGTTCCTTTCCCTAGCCTTCGTTGTTGTGCGATGTTACACCTACGTCACGTTTGCTATTTCCAAGCAACTGCATGCGGTTACAGATGCGCTCGTCTTTCGCTGTCCGAATCTTGGACGCTAGAAATATTGTGCATATATATATAAGAAAAAAAGTGGGGACGCATTTCATACTATAATAATAATAATAATTCTTTATTTTCTGTGCCCAGAAACAACTTTTCAGTCTCCACTGTGGTGCACAAAATAATAAAATACAAATACCGCAAAAACTAAAATACTTAATACAATACCACAAAAAAAAAAAAATCTCATTCTGGCGAATGACAATCATTCACGAACAAGCAAGGTAAATTCCCGAAGACACATGAAAATATCCAGGTGATGTTCCTTATTCAAGGCCAATTGAATCCGTGACAAATGGGATACAGGGGACAAGCAAGATGGATAAAACGTTAATGCATTCCGGCTGGCTCTTGATGTAATATGGAAGTCAATGGATCGTAGTACATCCATTGACCTGACGTGACCATGAACAACTTTATGAAGAAAAACAAAGTCTCTGGACTGCCTCCTCATGGCAAGTTGATATTATGCAAAACGGTGAAGTAGCGTTTCATAATGATACAAAGACCTCCTTCCAATATAGCTGTCATACACAATTCTTATCAGCCGCTTTTGTACATTTTCGATTTCAGTTGCCTGACCAAGAGATAATGAATTGCAAATTACCGAGCCAAATTCTAACCGTGATCTAACTAGTGACTTAAACAAATGCAACAACCAAGACGGTGATGAGAACCGCCGACATAACCGAGAAATAATGCCTAACACTCTTAACGCAGCATTAACAGTCATAGACACATGTTCTTTGAAAAAAAGTGAGCTGTCAATACGGACTCCAAGATTCCTCACAAAAGGCACCCGGGGTATCAAGGCGCCTTCAATGCTGTAAGAAAAAGAAATGGATTCACGCTTTCTAGATACTGCAATATGTTTAGTTTTCTCGGGATTAAACGACAAGTGGTTTTTGAAGCACCAATTTGAAACATGTCTTATGTCAGGTTGAAGACGAGCGCAATCCAATACTGACCTCACACTTAAAAATAGTTTCACATCATCGGCAAAGAGAAGACTTTTTGCGTCACCAACACATGAAAAAATATCATTTATGAACAAAATAAACGAAAGCGGTCCCAGGATGGACCCCTGGGGCACCCCGGATTTACAAACAAACTTATCGGAGTAGCATTCTTCAACACGATCAGAGTTTCGACGACCTTTTATATAACTAGAAAACCATGTGCACAGATGTGGGCTGAAACCATGCAGAGCTAGTTTTTGTAGAAGTAAATTGACTAACACGGTCGAACGCTTTCGACATGTCAAAATAAATTGCATCCACCTGTCCCCTACTGGACACAATCGGCGTTGAGAAATTTACAAATGAGCATAAGTTCGATTCTACCGATCTCACCTTTAAAAATCCGTGCTGAGCTTCAGTTATCATCGGGCTCAGATAAAAGTAAAGATGCTTATGGACTACTTTTTCAAATAGTTTTGCAAATCCACATAACTGTGGCACCGGCCGGTAATTATTAACCAATGTAGAATTGCCGCATTTAAAAATAGGCACATCTGCGGAGAATTTCCAAAGTTCGGGGAAATAACCCTGTGCAAGAGACAAGTTGAAAATATGCGATAAAACTCGAGCGAAAATAGAACAACAACCTTTTATAATAAAACTGGGTATGCCATCAATGCCGGTTGATAGTTTGGGTTTCAGTTCTTTTATAGGCAACCTGCAATGCTGTTTGGTTTGGCGCCATCTAGCGACTGAAGCAAGAAATATTGGGTACCCCTGGGAGTGGCGCCTGCATTGTTCAAACGTGAGCTATTACTCTGGTGGCGCCGCTGAGCCTAGTGTCTGAAGCAAGAAATACTGGGTATCCCAGGAAGCCGTGATCGCGTAACGTGCCAGTACAGCGGAAGCTACGGCTCTAGCGGGCCAATCGGAACGTGACTGCGTATCACCGGAGCGCGCCTCAACTCCGAAGAAGTATCAGGCTTTTCGCTGCGTCATGCTCCAATATGTGTGCGTTGCGCTCGTATACGTCGCGCATTTCGAAGCCTTCGGCACGCAATGTGGGGCTTATCGTTCGCCGTTTGCCAAGTTACAACGAGATAGGATGTAACCGTGCGCTGTCACCCTGCTGGCGCCGCCTGGCCGTTGCCGGCTGCCTATAGCTTCTAAAATGTCTTCAATGCAAACAGTGAATGTAGACAGATAATCGGAGCACTCAACATCAACACAAATAAAAGAGCAGCTCGCGGGAAAAGAAGAATACCAGGAACTGAAATACTCAGCAAAACGAGTTGCAATATCGGCCCGGGAACACAGATAACCATTATCGTCTCGGAGGCAAATATTTGACTTATTTTCACGGAAATGTTGCTTCATAAAGCGACAAAGTTTTTTGGGATTTTTCTTTA